AATGATGCAAACTGTTTGTCAACTTGTTAATAATGAAATTATATCAAATAAAAAATGTTCTGGTAATTGTACTTCTCAACAACAACAGCAACAACAATCAACAATAAATTCAGCTCGTATTCGTCGAGATCAAACAGATTTTCAAGTATCTGAACCAAGACAAAGTTGGTTAAATAATCAAAGTAATATACATATTCAAAGATCAAAAAATAATGCAACAGATGAATTACTTACATTTACTCAACGTATGAGTAATGGTAAGTGTTATTATTATTAATTAATAGGTTAAGAAATAGAGTATTTCTCTAGTCGGTCGCGTGATATTCGGTCTTTCTACTTTGCGTGTTTTTCGCTATAACAAAACCGATACTTTGTATCGCGATGATCTAGAGAACGACGAGACACTAAAAACTTATTCGAATTTTATCAGAGAGATCAATATCTCGAGATGATACAAACATTTTTGAATTATCAAAATGAATTTTTGTTCATCTTCAGTAAAATTCCGCAAAGCGACGACTTAGACGATTTGACTTTGACATTTCATCTGGTATAGTTAAAAGTGATATACTATTCCCCAGTCAGCTATTATAAGCAGAATCGATGAAATGAAAGCCTTCAACAAAACAAAATCGGCTCTAGGAGTTGAAATCATTTATTATTCTTATTGTAATTCAAACCTCGTTGTCAAAATTTGAGATTATTTCGCACTACATTTCACAATCGAGTGAAACTCAAACGTTATCTAGTTTAATTTGAAGACTTTATTGATATTTTTGTTTATGCTTAGCCACACCAACAGATACAAATCAATATCGTTATTCAACTTATAGTGAAACAAATGACATATCAAAAAAAATATCACGACCAACATCGGCTCTTTCCACAAATGAAAATAACAATAATGATTTTTCAAAACAAATTCTTCAACGTCGAAATATTGATCCAGAATCACGTTCATCTATGATTAGTCCAATAGATATGCCATCATCATATGATATGTTTGAATCAGGTCTTCCTAAAAGTAACTCAACAACAAGCATGCTTAGAAGTACAACTGGTAATGGTTATAGTGGAACATCAAGCAATGTACCATCGGCTTCGACTGTATGCGTGTTATTTAAAATATTATTTTGAATGATATTGATGATTCTTTTTCTTTTCTCTTATTTAGAATGAAACCATATTAGAAAAAATCTTACAAGAACGTCTTCTTCTTGTTCAACAAATAGCTGAACTTAATAAACAACATGAAACGACACAAGAAGAATTGGCTAATCTTGAAGCCAATGCTTTACAACAGCGTATAACATAAACTATAGCCAATATTTGTACATGTTTTTTTTCTTCATATTATTATCCTATTAGTCAGTTTTGGGTTATCTCGATAGTGTTCATTCTTCTTGCAAACTTTATATATGTGTGTGTGTATGTGTGAGTGACACGTCTCAACTTAATAGAAAGAAGAAACGAAATAACAATATGACATAACTTTCTTTTTTAGCGCTATATTGTCTCTACTCATTTCCGATTAGTTACCTTTTTATCAAATAATTTATGTTGGCATAACGATACATATATTCATTTAGATTAATTAAATTATGTGTACCTATAAAATTGTTGCACTTTAGTAATGAATGATGAAATTATAGAAAATGTATAATAAAACGTTTTCTGATACATACTGTTAAATAAGGAAAAAAAAAGAAAAGACTCATTTAAATCAATGCATGAAATAAAAATGAAGTAAATCATATGCCATTAAAAGTAAACAGATTATCTGAAGAATAGTCAATGGTTTTTTCAAAGTACTAATTAAATAAATATGGATTAGATATTTCAATGAAGAGATGGTGTCTCAAGGTTTTCAATTACGTTCTATAGACTGTAAGAAAAGATGATTAGAAAATATTATTGAGTACAATATGACTTTTACATCTTTTTTTTAAATAGTATTTACAAATCTGTAATAGCATGAAAGTTAACTTCCATAGCTTATGCACGAGTAAGAGTGTGGGTGTTAATAATATGGTTAAAAAATGCAATAACTCCTATTTATTTAAAATAACGAAATAATTTCAATAATTATTTGTGGAATATGTCTCTTCATTTAGGAAAAATATTCTAGTTACGCTACTAGTTCATTTATATATGTCACCATTGATATAAATAGAAACTAATCCGATGGGATTCATTAAGTTCTTTTGTTTTGTATTGCTTTACGTAATTTTCTGATTAAGGTATTTTAAGAAGACATTTAGTATCGAATAGAAAGATTTACAGACAATATAAAAGAAAAAAAACTCTTGAAACACTTGTCAAAGCAGTAGAACTCATTTTATCGACTATTACTATGAAGTTTATTGTTGCAAGCAAAAATGCCAACACATTGCGGCCAGGCTACAATCGCTAATGCACATATTAAACATCTTTCAGATCTATATCAACATTTGACTCATGTTTCATTGATTGAAAATTATGAGCGTTCAGACATAATTGTTCGGAAAAAGCATACTTTTCAATTAATACAATCAACGTTTTTTTCATATTATTCTCAATAAATGGAAAAGTTGGTCAAATCAAATGAATAATAAATAATAAATCAATAAAGTAATTTATCGAGTACTTTGCGTTACATTGTGAAATTAATCTTCTCTTTTTTTTTTGTTCTCCAACATTCTGCTTTTCTGTTTTAGGAACAATAATAAATGAAGTTTTTTTTCCAGTTGAATTCAATATAAAGATAATTTGAAATAAAAAATAAATATCAAGAGAAAAGCTTTAAGTAATCTCAAAGAAAAATAATAACATAAATTCACAATTATACACCAATATCTTTTTTTTTTCCTTTTCTTCTAATAAACATTTTTGTTATTAAGTATTTTTCTCATATAATTTTAGACAAAGATACATTTTATAGGAGTGACATATCTAAATTGGCAAATCTTGATTCATTTCCGAATCTCTTCATCAGTTGTTACTACCTTTTCTTTTCTTTTATTCTGATGTCTAAAAAAATAATACTCTGGATTGATCTGATTTAATTATTTCTACTTGTAAAAGCATTGCATGCTATTCAAACATCATCCGTACTAATTAGAAAAGAGAGGACCACAATACATCGACTTATATAGTAAATCCTCCAATATGCTAACTAACAACGTCGAACCGAATAAAACTCTTCTTTTTCTTTCCTCTTCAAAGCATATTAGTACAAAATTAGCTCGAGAAAAAGAGAAAAAGAGAGAACAATTTTATCGTCCAATGAGGATCATGTTTTCTCGTTTCAACTTTCAGTACCAATGAAATTCTTTCTCTCTCTTTTCTCATTTTGATTGCTTGCAATTTATTATGGAAATTCTTGTCACTAGTATTACCATTGAGACAAACACAAGAGAGAAAAAAATGTTGATGAGCATCTATTATCACTTGATTGTAATACAAACATAAATATGACTACAACGATCAAGAGTAGTTTTTTGATTGATGATTTACTTTCTGCTTTCAAACGACCAACAACAACATCAGCTTCGGCAGCAACAATACCTGTACCAATACCATCGAATCCTCCTCCTCCTCCTCCTCCTCTTCCACCAAAAGAACCTATTTCTGTATTACCTAATGATATAACACCATTATCACTTAATTTTTTTCAACCACCTAATCAATTTAATCAATATGCCGCTATTAAACCTGAATTACATCCATTTTTTTTTCATGGTACGTTAAAAAGAAATAAGTAATCCAATGATAGGTAGAGATATTCTTGTTAGAAAATCGACGGGTGGTCGTCATCTTCTCTTTTTTCGTTTTTCTTTCTTTTTTTTTGCATGACCACTAAGACGACAATAATGTTGTCGTTGAATGATGAGATGACTAATGAGTATGACGAATTGTTATCCTAATGAGAATATTTTACTAATCGGCTCAACATCTTTCTTTTTTTCTTTCTTCAATGAACATTGTCTAACTAGTGATCTATTCATAAAGTAATTATTTAATCAAAACGAAAAGTCGCACACCTGTTGAGTAAAAAAAAAAAACAAAAAAAGGAAAGGCGTGATTTCATCTCAAGGTCAGACGGGGCGTGTCTCATCGCGTCTAGCGAGTATATTACGTCGATTGACCATCTGTAATGTCTATCGTTTTAGGTTTGAGTTTTCATGCCTATCTTAACAGTGAACATTCGCTCAAGCATTGTCGTCGACGCAAAGCTCGAACAGTGTTCAGTGATCATCAACTTAATGGTCTTGAAAAACGATTTGATGGACAAAAATATTTAAGTACACCAGAACGAGTCGAATTAGCTAATGCACTTAATCTATCGGAAGCACAGGTAAATACGAAACTTATGATTTTTTTACTCTTTGAAAACTAAACTTAGAATATTTATTATATTTATAATCTTCCGTTTTCTCTTTTTTTTTTTATTCGTCGATTTTCACAATTTTAAGGTCAAAACATGGTAAGTTCAATTTACCATCTTAATTATAATATTAATTTCTATATATATTAGGTTTCAAAATCGTCGTATGAAACATAAAAAACAAGTTCGTCGACAATTACAAAATACATCGGATAGTCCATTATCAGAAGGTGTCGATGAAGATGAATGTTGTGAGGAGAATGATATTGATGTTGTCAGTGATGATGAATGTTACAGCAATAATTCTTCTTCAAAATAAAAAACTAAATAACTTCTATCATCAGACATGGGCGTCACGTACTTTTTTTTTCTATACTCTCTTCATGTTCAATCCAATCAGCGGGAGGTGCATCGAATAGAAACAATTAGACAAAGAGACGAGAAGAGGAAGAGTGAATATGAGTGAACGATGATTGAATTGAAACAAGACAAAGTACTAGAAACATATGTCACTAACCAAAAAACAATACCACGATAATTTGCACATATATTTATTCATTATTAAAAGAAGGACAAAAAGAAAAAGAAAGTATTGAGAAAATATACAATTGTTGATTTTTTTTTGTTTGATTTGTCAACTAACAAAATTATTAAGTGATTTCATATTGCTAATACTCAATGAACTGAAATCACTATTGACTTGTGTAAGATTAATTAATTGCATAGCTAATTGACTATTATTTAATAATGATGATAATGCATAAGTACTAAAATAGTGTAGTAATTTATTTAATTTACTTGATGATGGTGATTGTTTTTTATCCTTTCCCGCAATTTCACTTAATAATTGAAAAAGTTTATCAAGTTTACTGAGGTTGCTATTTGACAATGATGATGGCAATACGAATTGCTTTAGTGAAGCCAATTTACTAAATGAGTTAGAATTTTTTTCTTTATTTGAATCTCCTGATAACAATTCATTGAACCATTGGTTAAAACTTTGACGAAATGAGAATTCTTCAGTAGTATTACTAATTGTACTTGTTTTATGATTGTTGAAGAAGAAGCCACGCGCATAATATCTTTCTACAGATGATGTTGTTGCTCCTATGAATAACATTGCCATTAATAACACTGTAAAAGAAATGATTCACAATTCAATATGGTAGGTACAATTCACTTCAAGTTTGAAAGATTTATTATCTGTTACTAGAGTCATAGAAATGAATGCTTTTTTAAAAAAATTTCGTGCATTTTTTTATTAGATAATATTATTTTTGCTGACAAATTTGGAATGAATCGGTACTATGATTTTTATTTGACTACGAGCAAGAAAAGAACCTAGTCAACTTCACAATGCTTTATACCAGACGATATGATGGAAGAAGAGAATAAAATAATGTACGTATATACATAAGAAACGTATACTCGACGAAAAACAATGTTTTTGTAATCAGAATATATGTCAACAAGCAATGCTATGATTGTTACAGATAGCACTATTATTTATTCTTCTATTGTATACATAAGCGCACTATTAAAACTTACATTTTCTTTCCAAGCCTAATATTCAGAGCAATTTACAATTTAGTGAATGTCTTAATCGCTCAGACTTTTGTCAGTAAACCAATCGTATTGTTGAATCAACAAAAGTTTTATATAAAATAGAAATATGTACATATTATAAGGATTACATTGTGCTGATGCTTTTGATAATAATATGAACACTTATCATCAACTTTTATTATCAATGAATTCAGACTAGTTCTAATCATTTGCTTCCGGCATCAAATTCTAACTGTTTATTTGTTATATTTAGACATTCAGTTATTCTTAAGTTTTCTAGTAACAATTAAACTTTAACAAATAAGCATTTTATAACGCTTACAAATATCAATATGTATAAGCCATCAACAAAGTCTTGTATTATATTAAGGGTTGCTGTGATTGATAACATTTAACCAACCTCAATATGAATTAAATGATCTTTATCATCTAATAATATATTTCCATGATGTCTTACAGAACAGAATATTTGGATGTTTGACTACTTCTTTGTTTTAGTTTATTATTTAAACTAACTGTTTATTAATTATAATAAATAACAAATGATTTAAAAAGCCGCACAATTCAGTACAAAATTACGTGAAACTTTCAAAAATTGTTCTCTTCTTTCATCATCGTGTTCATGTAAAAAAGACTCATTTCGTAAAGATCGGTTAGAATTTTTCTTCATTGAATGAAGAGAAACTACGCTTAGATTCGCTAAATGACTCAAATGAATTATAATATTAATTCAATTTTCATTAATTTGTATCAATAGTTACGGTAGAATCTATTAGGGTGTGAGTGTGAGTCGAGGTGTATCAACACCACTGTTAACAGTCTCAAGCACTTATAGGCTCGAACAGATTCTTTAAAATAAGTCTTTTCTATAAAGCATAGAAATTTTGATTTGTTTTGTAATTTATTTGCGTCATGAACTTAACAGACCCTTTTGAATTGGATAAAAATAAAAATTGTCAGCGCAATTCCTACAGGATTTAAGTATAAGAAACAATATAGCTGTTATTCACAATCTCAAGAAAAGAATTGTGAAGGAGTCTGTCAGGAACTGTGGATCTAAATATCAATCTCAACATTTTTGCAAAACTCTATTGAGATCGTATTTCACAAGATAACCATAGAAACAGTGCATACAGCTGAATCAAATAAACACAGATATTTTTAAAACAAATGCTTATTAATAGGCTTCGTTATTGTTAGCAGTAGATTATTTAATAAATTTACCATTTTCTCGATCACAGATAAAACAGTTAGTGCTGTAGATAATTCATTTTTGTTGTCAGCTCTAGTTTGTGAATGCTTCTTCTTTTCCTCTTTTTTCAATGTTTTCGTTACGAAAATCAACAGCGACAGAACGCATCAAAACAGAATTGAAGAATTTTGTGATGTAGTGGCCTTTTCTCGTGATTTTAAGTCAAAATCTCTTCGTAGAATTTTATTAGAGCCGATCAAAGTCAACCAAGTCTTATTTGAAGTTCACGGAAGCCAAGGACAGGACTTTATTCGCTGTATTCTATCAGAGTACCGATTATCCTGATGCTTTTCGTCACTCAAATCTAACCGATGAGATCATGTTTTGTGATGTCGCTAACTTCAAACATGGTTCATTCGAATTGTGTCAGATCCAACGAGTTTTCAGCTTGGGATGAAGAATCGGATTACTTACTCTGGGATAACTATTTTTCTCAGGCCTTCTTATTGACAACAGGTTCCTGTTGAGAGTTGTATTTCTCCAGCAGACAGAAGGAAAAATCTAGTTCGACTCAAGAATGGGTGTCTATTATAGCATCTGAATATCAGCATGTTTGAGTTTTATATCAATAGCTCATCTTTGGTAGTCGAATGTAGTGTTACTCTAGGCTTGTATTTAGTTCCGTTGTAACGAATGTATTTTGCGAAGCGAGACAAAGAAAAAAAAAATGGTTACATTTTATTTTTAGCATGTCTGTTGTGTTTTTGTTAAATTAGATTTGCACGCTTTTTTTTAATTAAAATGATGATACAACAGTCTGCTGATGGAATCAAAAAATTTTGTTTGAGTTGTTGTACTTTTGCTCTAGAATTATATAGACAATGAATAAATTTCACGATAAGTTTACTTTTGTGTGCTAGGATGAAAATTGTTGAATTTTGCTAAAGACAGTTCTGTCTGCCCTATTTAAGTCGTGATATTGTTTTATGTTGTGAATGAAATGAGTAAATATGAAGTGATGAAAAATTCTCATGAGTGTCTTATATTATTATTTGCTGCGAAAGATTTCTGAACAAATCCACGAAAGAATATTATCTTGAAAATGAATACTGAAGGTTTACCTTCAGTATGTTTGACTTATGGAAAAGTTTTGAATTGAAATGAATTGATTTTGCGAGCATCTTGATTTTATTTAAGATAAAAGAAGAAAAGAAAACTAACAAATGAAAGTAGGCAACAAAGCCAATGTTCTATTTTTTTTTTCTTTTTAAAAATCATCTTCATCATCAGCCATTTCTTTTGCATATTCTAATTCTTCCTGTTCACGTTCTCGTCGTTCCTATAAATAAAAAACAAATATTTACGAAACAGGTAAAACAAAAATGATGGGAATTGATCTTACTTGAGCTGTTTCTAAATCTTCATTATATTTCTTAGGTGGATAACGCATTGCTTTAACTGCTTCATTATGAACTTTAAGACAAAATTCAATACGTTGATGGAATGCATTCATTGGTTCACGTGTTGTATAAACGTCAATAGTTTCACGTGATTGTACGTAACCTTGTTCATGATCTATACTTGCTTCTATTACTCCATCACGTATAGCCTAAACATTTTTTTGAAAGTAGTTCTCAGACACTTTAATAAAACATTATTCGAATTTTTATTAAAAAAATTCATAAGATCTTTAAAAATATTGATCAGTTCATTAACAATGCGTCTTACATTGTTTGTAAAACGAAAAATAATTGTATAAGTTTTTCTAACCATAGAGAGTCTCCCATTATAAATGAAGGTATATTGACAATAACATTTTTATCTTGTTTTCTTGGTGTAAAAGACTGAAATTTTTATCGCATACATGTGAAACCAAGATTTTACTTCTTTCCAAGGTTTCAGCTTTTTAGTTTAAACTAGTACTAACTTCCATGATTAAGATTGAAATAAATGATTTTTTTTTTGTATTAACTCAATATGTCTAAACATGTTGTGCATTGTTTTTTACCGTCTACTATAATTGATAAGGCAATTCATTCGTCATTTTTACACATTTTTCTTTCGAAGGTTTCTTTCATTTTTTTGCAACCGTTTTTTCTAATGTGTAATGATGTATCAAACATCTTTCCACAAACGTTATCCTCGAAACTAGACCACTATTGAGTCGACCGAATCCACGTTAGATTAACTGCCATAAAAAGATTAAGTTTCGAACGAAGTCTCTTCGAAATACGAAGCTTTCAAAAATGCATGTTGTATATACTATCCATGAAAAAAAATGGGTGTACATCTCTTATAGGCTTTGTTTAAAACTTCTGAATTTTTTTATGAAAGCTAATCTAGGTGAGTTCTCTATACGCACAGTTTCAGAGCAAAATTCGAAAATAAAAGTTTTTCCAAATCTTGGGATCTCTACAAAAAAAAACTCGATAGATTAGTCAAATTTCAATATGAACTCAAATATTTTTACGCTTTTTGATTAGAACACAATTGAATATCTGTAGACAAAAAAAAAGTCATTAAAATTAGAAGAGGTTGTCTCGTAAAAATAAAAGTATTATTAAAATTCAGTACGAAAATTCATGTATTTCAGTATGTGTTTAAGCTCGAGAGCTGAAAAGCAAAGATAATAGTTCCATATATATATATATTGGGTTGTCAACTACTTTTTGTCGTTTTTTTCAAAAATTTTATTTTTATTTTTCCACTCCAAAGATACAACTAGTTTTCAGAGATATATTCACCACTACTATCTATCACTTGTTGCCAACGTTCTGGCAGGGATAGAATCCCGCGTTCGTAGAAGTCCTTGGATTTTTGATCGAAGAAGTTGACGAGTTCCATTTTTAAGTCGTTCTCATCGTCGAACTTTTTCTCACGTAAATGGTTCGAAAGAGAACGAAACAAATGGTAGTCTGTTGGAGCCAAGTCAGGAGAATAAGGTGGATGAGGAACGGTAACCCATCCGAGCTTCAATAATTTTTCGCGGGTCGACTTTGCAATATGAGGTCTGGCATTATCATGCAAATAATAAATTTTATCCTGCTTTCCCTTGAGTTTTTCGGCAACTCGGTCTAATTGTTGACAGTAGAGATCAGCAGTGATAGTGCATCCATTTGGAAGAATTTCCCAATGAATAATTCCATTGACACCCCACCAGACGCTCAGCATCACTTTCTTGGGATATGAATCAGTCTTAGGTGTTGCTATGCCTTTTTGACCAGCACTTAACCACTGGCGCCTGTGGGTATAGTTGATGTATAACACCCACTTCTCATCGCCAGTGATAAGATTGCGGAGCCATTGGTAGTTGCGATGAGATGTCATTAAATCCATACAAGCATCAACCCTGTGTTGAAGCTGATGCG